CTTGTGCCACAGAGCAGCTACAGCACAGACCAAGAGGGACCTGTGGCCCAGCCACCCCAGCCATGCCCAGAAGGGACAGCCATCCCTGTCTGGTACCTGGAACAAAAGGTTCCCTCGAGCTGCTATTACAGGGGGAAGCAAAGCCTGGGGAGAAGGGAACTGTGGCATGGGCACGTGTGGAAGGTGTTGCATGGACACGTGTTTGTGTAAGCTATTAGAAGCAAAAATAAGATAGAATGTTCTTGAGTCATAAATAAGCCAGGAAAACCGTGGCATAACTCTTTACGAATGCCTGTGAAATTAACCCACTTTCCCAACAGTCTCCAAATTTCAGTATTCAATGTAAATGTGTACATAATATGGCACACATAGTATTATAAAGCTGTAGTATATGCATGCAGTACTGGCCCCTCACCGCACTGCCCCCTCCCTGCCACGGCTGCTGCCTCTGCCAAGCCGTGACCTGCTGCTCCACACCCCCTGGGAGGCTGCAGGAGTCCCCAGGGGCAGGGGCTGCTCTCCTGCCTGCCCCCCGCTCTGTCCCCCTTGTCTCCGTGTGCCAGAGCTCTCCCGGTACAAAAGCCCCCAGGAGCCGTACTGATTTGCAGAGAAATCACTCTATCACTTTGGAGTTGTAAAGTGGGTATGTTTATTCAGCGCTGGGCGCATGGGGCATCGCTCCACCACAAGCATGCGCATCGTTTGCAGCTCCGGTCCGGCGTATATGTTACAAAGTTGTGCATATTCATATAACGCCTGTACATATACATAGTCTACCCCCGCCTCCACTCACTTCTCAGGGTGATCAGGTCTCCTCCTCTTGCGCCTGCGCAATGAGCTCTTCAAGCTCCAGGCTGGGGTCACAACGTCCTGGGGAGGGGTCGTAAAGATGAAGTACCTCTTCTTCCTCGCTGATGAACTTTTCACCCTGTCGCTCTGCGCAGCCTCAGTTGTTCTCTGGCTTCTGTCCAGATTGCCAGGCCAGTTTATGCTGGTGTTTGGGGTAGTCTGTTGCTGATCCCCACAACTTCAAGGACTGGAGGAGACTTCTCTTTGGGCTAGGAGATAGTCGCCTAGCAACGTTATCAGCACCAGGTATGTCTTTTCGAACAGTCCCATAGGCCTCATTTGTTTTTGCGCAGGCCTTGCACCATCAGTCTAAGATTGTTTAGACTCCCTGTCTCAGTACGTTGGTCCATCTGCTCCTCAAGGGGCGTTGCGCATGGCCCAGAAGGAGCGTTTGGAGAGCTGCCGGGTGCCAGCCAAGAGCTCCCCAGGCCCCGCTGCGGCTTTGACAACCTCAGTTGACAACCTCAGTGCCGTGGAGTAAGCCTGTCCTTGACTTGCACCCACTGCCACCCCACTCCGAGGAGGTACCCCGAGCGGTGTCACGGGAGCTGATCTGTCATGCGCTTCTTTGCAGCCGTGCCCGTAACCGAAGGTGACGCAGCTTTCCGGCCGGGTCCCAGGACCAATCCTCCAGGACGTGGCTTGGGTACGTCCTGGCTATTTTTTTTTCCTCCCTGTGAGAGCTGCCAGCTCAAAGGCCAGAGGGCAGCCAGCTGGGTGCCTCTGTGGGTGCGAAGCAGGAGACCTGCCCGTGGGTGCCCTCTCCTTGTGCAGTCCCCTTGCCGCTTCGGCGGTTGGGTTCTGCCAATGGAGATGAGAGGAGCTTCTCCGAGTGTTTGGTTACAGATGTGCCTGCAGGGAGGGCTTTCCCAGCCCCTCGGCTGCATCCATCGGGCTCGACAGTCCGGCTGGCGTCGCAAGGGTGAGTAGTCTGTCTCTGCTGCACTGGGGGCGGTGCGCTGCCCTTCTCTGATTTGTTCATGGGAAACTGAGCCCAATACTTTCTTTTCAGATCGCCCAACCCCAAGACAACCTGCTAAAGAAGGGATAAGCTCCCAGGAGCTGAGCTATCGGACATCCTGAAGCAAATCCTGGGGAAACTGGAGACATGAAACGGTGGGTGTATTTCTTTCACTCAGCCTTAGCCATGAGACAGCTGGAGCTTTTAGACACCCGTCTGGAGACGCTGCGGCCTGGGACAGCGGGAAGGGGTTGAGCAGAGCCTGGCAGCAGCAGTGCTGGTTTCACACCTTGCAGGCAATGGTGAGCCCTGGAGCTGCTGCAGAGCCTCTGCTGCCAGTTGTGGCTCAGGCCAAGTCCCAAGGGCTGCAGCTGCCCCTGCTGTGCCGTGACGGCCCAGCACTGCTTTGTGCGGACGTCAGCAGGCAGATTTGTGTTAACCTGAGCGATGCCTTTGAGCAGTGTGGCCTCCGAAGGTGCCATCTCCCCGACGGGGAGCAGCTCCATCTGACCCAACTGTCCTTATTGCCTCCTCAAGGGACGGACCTAGAGGCTGTGCAGGACGCGGTGTTTCCCAACAGAACCAGCGGCTCCCTGCCAGCTTCGGCCGCAGTAACGACGCGAGCCCCCAGCACGACAGGTAATTGCTGCCCCGCGGTCAGACGGCGTCGCCCACTGGGACGGCCGTGTGTCAGTCAGAGCGGCACAGAGCGGGAGCCCTCCCGCGAGCCAAGGTCCAGAGCGATGCCCTGACTGCCAGAATGGGCAGGGGCTTCGAGGGAACCTCCCTGTCCTCCTGCACCCTCTGTGCCTCAGCCATGTGGAGGCTTTACCTGTTGTGTCACCTTTTTGGCAGTGCTCTTGAAGCCTGGAGAAGGCCAATGGACAGCAGACTCAGGTACTGAGCGTTCCTGCTGGGGTCCCTAAGTGGGAGACGCGTCCCCAAACCTGGGAGCGCCTGCGGGCGGTGCCCGTGCTGGGGAAAAGGCCAAAGGGGAGAGCAAGGCTCCGGTGTCTCTGGAGAAGGCCTGACTCCGTCCCCTGGAGGGTGGGAGCTGGCCCGGGGGCAGGGAGAGTCAGGGGTGGGTGGCTCTGCCTGCTGCAGGGATGGTTTTTGTCCGTGTCCCTCGAGGCAGCGACTGGCCAGGCAGCTGCGCTCACCCTGTGCTCTCCTCCTGGCCTCCGGAGTTTTGTTTGCAGGGACAACCTGTCCCAAAGGGTGGGAGGGTGCTGCGAGCTTAGCGGTGGAGCGCTGCACAGACTCACGTCCCAGATTTCTCCACAGATGCGGTCAGCGAGAATAGACCGAGCCTGAGCCTTCCCCCTCTCCAGAGCAGCACGAGGTTCTTCTGTCCCCGGGGTTTCCAGACGTTCTGCATGCTCAGCGTAGTGTCACTGGTGCTTTCTGCAGCAGTGCTGCTGCTGGGCTGTGTCGCGGTGGCGTGGTGGTGCAGGAGGGAAGGGCCTGCCCCCACCTGCAGCTGAGGGCCTCAGAAGCCTCCTCTCTCCGCTGCCGCCCCTCGGCAGCCTCCAGACAGCGAATGGGCAGCGGCGGCCTGAGCATGGGCCCTACGCCTTCAGGTGCTGGAGACAGCTAGACACCCAGTGCACCTGCCCTCCCTGTCCTCCCCATCACCCATCACCCATTTTTAATATCCGTTTATAAAATAGAATTTCTGTCCAATGAGGCTACGTAGCCTTTCTTTTTGCAAACCCAAAAGCGTCTGAACAGTTGTTAGTAACCATCACTATGTCCATGCTGCAGGGTCCTCCATTTCCAATTCAGTTTCAAACCAGCAACGTGTGAGATTACATCCTTAGTGTGTGTTTGCTACACTCAGCACTGTTCCATGAGCTGCAGCGTCAGTGATTGCTGCACTGCTGGCTGGCCTGTAAGAGAACAGCTGCCGAGAAATGCTGTTTACAAGCAGATTAATTCACAAAACACCCAGTCAGGTGGCCTGATCTATCAGCAGCCATTTTTTTCCCCAGCAAATCTTTCTCTGAACTAGTTTTTCTAGTCAAGCAGCACGGAAATACACTTCAAATGAATGAAGGTCCCTGCTTGATTTCCCTTCTCCAGCAGCTTCTCAGCTGCTGGGGCCAGGAGCACTGTGCGGAGGAGACAGAGCAATTTGGTTCACTCCTCCCACTCTTGGGGTCTCCCCACAGGTTTAGGGTGTGTGTCCCCCTCAATTTTGGGGCTCCCCCCAACCCCTACTGGCAGCTCAGCCCCCAGGGGGAGTGCCCAGGGTCCCCTATGGGTACTCACCACCTCCCCCTCCTCCTTGTCCAATATAGGGTGTGACCCCCTCCCCCCAAACTCGGGGTGTCCCTGGCCCCCCACAGCTGGTCTCGATGCGGTAGGTGTCAGGGTTGATGAGGTCGATGCTGACACCCAGGTCGGGCTCCGTCAGCAGGTCCTGTTTGTGCTGCCTCTCCAGTGACATCGCCTTGTACGGCACAACCCGGGGGGGGTGGAGGGGGCAAGGTCAGGCACCCAAAAACACCCCCCAAAATCCCAATTCCCCCCAAAACACACACCACCACCACCACCCCCCCCGACCAAATCAAGGGGGAGGTCAAACCGCACCAGCCCCTGCCAAGCCTGTCGCCTAGCCCTGAATGAATCCCCAAAGCCCCCTGAAAATCTGAACCCTACCCCCCCATTTTGTTTTGAGGAGGCAGAGAAGACCCTGACACTCCCCCCCAAACCTCCCTCAGCCCATTTGTGCTGCACAAACCTGGGGGGACCCCCACAAAACGCCCCCAACCTCCCATTTTATGGCCTGAATTGGGGTACATTGGGATTTTTTGTGGGGGGAGGCACGTACCAGTTCTGATTGAAGGGGTAAGTGATGAACTTGGGGTCAAAGGGGATGTCGGGGAGACTGTTGCAGTACTTGACCCAACAGACCACGCCCGCCCTGGGGGGATGGAAATCGGGGGGGGGAGCCCCAAAACAGCAGAAACCCCCCAAAATACAGAGGGGGTCGGATGGCGCTGGGTACCCCACAGAAGGGGCATCCAAACCCCCCTCACCTCAGGGAGCGGCCGGTGGGAGCTGGGCCTGCGGGAGGGGGAGGGCAGTGGGGGGACCCGTGACTGGGGGGGTGCAGGTGTCCGGGACCCCCGACACCACCTCCCCCCCGCGCTATGACGTCATCGATGAGCCCCAGCACTGCGCCATGATGTCACGAGAGGACACAGGCACAGGGCCCGCCTGTACGCCGTAACGTCATGAGGGGACCCCCACACCCAGAGCCACGGCAACAGACGCTATGACGTCACGAGGGCGCCCCCACGTTTCCACCACCCGCCCCGGGGCGTGAGACGTCACGGGGGGCCCCAGACCGTCCGGTTCCCTCCGCGGGCCCGCCCCCCGCCGTGACGCCGCCGCGCCCGCCATGACGTCAGACCCGTGACGCCGCCGTACC